GAGGAGGGGGCAGTGCCGGGAGCGGGAGGGCATCGGGATGGGGATGGGGGTGTCCCTCCGGCCCTGCCGCTGCCACCCGGGGCTTCCCAAGGCTTTGCCCATCACCGGCTCCAGCCCCGCTTGCAGAGCCGCCAGCTGCCTGTCTGTCCTCGCCAGCCCGGCCAGGAGGGGCAGAGGGCAGGTGCTCCGCACCGCCTGTGCCAGCAGCCGGGCTGGGACCCCCGCCGGGGCCTTCCCCCCACGCCACCCTCTCCCCTCTTCGCCCTCCGGAGCCGGGGCAGCAAATGGAGGCTGCTTCATGGCTCCCCCCGGCCCCGCTGCCGGTGGTCACGGAGCTGGAGACGAGGCTTTGCATGCGTCATCCCCTCCGCGTCAGGAGCATGCCTGGCACAGGCAAGGCTCCTCCGCGGGCCCCGCCGCACGCTCCGCCGCCGACCAAGGAACAAGGACGTCACTTGGCCTCGGCGGAGGGGGGGACGATGGGGGGCATCCTTCCAGGAAGGCCCCCACCCCCCGGCTCCCCTGGGCGCACAAGCCCACCCCGCTGGGCGCTGGGCCCCTGGCCTCCCCGCTGTCACCCTGTCTGGTGGCCCAGCAGGAGCCCGGGAGGGGCTGTCACCCCCCCTGCACCTTCCCAGGGGTGCGGCATGCTTTGGGGGACACAGGTCCCCAGGGATGCTGGGAGCCAGGCGTGGTGGGGGGTCCCTCCGGGGCAGGGTGGATTGCATTGCCCGGCTGCCCCTTCTGCCCTTGGGGGCAGCAAGGCCAGGGGCTTGCCTGCATGGTGGGGTGAGGTCCTGCAGTGCTGCCCGAGCACCGGGGGTATTAGGACACCCACAGCAGCTGTCCCTCTGCGTCAGGCAAGCCACCCACTGCCTCCCCACCACACACCATCCCTGCTCCCTGTCTGCCTGTCTCACACCAGTGGCACCAGTGCCGTGTGGTGCTGGGCTCCACGTGCCAGGCCGTGGCAGGCTGCGAGGGCTGTGCTCCATGGTCCCAGGAGCCCCTTTTTCCCTTGGCGCCGTGGCCATGATTAGGGATGGCCAGGGCAGGACCCCACCCTGGGCAGGGAGGATCTGTGCCTGGCACAGGGGAAGGAGGCAGCACCAGGTCTCACCCTGCTGCCCCATGGGTGCGATCCCAGCCAGCCTTTCTCCCCACCCTGGGCTGGCTGGGCACAGAGCGGGCTCCTGGGGGTTCCCTACCCCTTTTCCCAGGGTGCAAATGAAATCCCAGGCAGGGAGCACACCCCCCACTCTCCGGCTGGCCCCTTCGCCCAGACCCCAGCCCTGCAGTGAGCCCTGAGCTGCTCCTGCCCCCTTTCCACCTCCTGGTTCCGAGTGACCCTGCATCACCCAGCACTTGCTCCCTAATGAGCTGCGCGTGGGTGCTGTGCCCGAGGGGGGTCAAGGCTGTGGGGTGCCCACAGGGACCTGTTGCAAGGCAGAGGGGAAGGGGCTCAGCCACCCCATAGCTCTGGGCGATGGAGCCCGGCCCAGGCCCGCTGGGTGCAGTCACCATATTTGATGGGAGCTGATGGCGCCAGTCCCTGGGGAAGCCACAAGAGCACCCGATAATGGCACTCAATTGCATTTTCATTTTTTAATGGGGGAATTATCCGCCGATGGTGCAGTTAATCACTCATCTATCTTTCCCTGGCCTGGAAGACGGGCTGCCAGCCAGAACCAGCACAGTCAGCCGAGGAGGGGAGGTGAAGCCTGGCTCAGCCTGAATACAAATGTGTCTCGTGCAGCCGCTGCCCTCTGGCCAGCACCGCATGCAGGCAGGGGGCTGGTGGGAGGCCCCAAGCGTTGCCCATGAGCAGGGGCTACCGCTGCAGTGGCAGCAGCTTTGGGGCACGCAAAATGAGCCAGCTGCTCTTCCAAGGGCAACTAACTGCTGGCCATGCTTGGCTGGCTGTCCCCGGGGGCTGGCTGGCTGTGACCCTGCTTTGACGCTGTGGAGAGGCAGGACGGGCTGGCAAAGCAAAGGGTTTCAAGAAAGCTGGGTGTCCAGCCCTGGGCTGCACACTGGGGAGATAGCACATGGGGCGTCAGTGTCCTGGGGAGACCCTGTCACCCAGACTGGCTGGGAAGGATGCTCAGTCCTGGCAGCCCAACCCTGCCTGTCTGCATGCCGCATCCCTGCTCCTGCCTGCCTTGGAGATCACCCCATCCCTCTGCTGTCCTGGGCAGCGGTGGCATTGGTGCACGCCGGGCCTGACAGCCGGGTCGCTCTCAGCCGGTCCCTCCCTTGGCAAGCAGGTGCCCGGCCCTGGGCTGCAGCATAGAGGGCAGCCGAGCTGGCAGGGAGCTCTCGGCACCTCTGCCCGTGCTCGGGTCCCTCCTGCCTGCCTAGACGGCACGGGCGAGTGCAGCCCCCATGCCTCCAGCCCCGCACAGACGGGCCGGTCCCATGCCGTTTGTGCCAGGCAGCCTCTCTCGCAGCTGGCACAGCCTCCGCCGGTGATGGGGGATGCTGTCCCCGTGCTGGGCCGGTGCCCATGGTGGCGTCTCGGCCAGCACCTGGAAGACGCTTTGCTGGCCCCGTCCCCACGCTGGCATGGTTGGTGGCTTCGAAGGGGCTGTGGAGCATTTGGGGACCTGCCCGGGCAAAGAACTTGCTGCAGGCGGTGCTGGCTGCAGGCAGCGGTGCCGGGGCAGCCAGGCTGCCCAGGGCTGTCACTCCCTGGGCACGGGCAGTGGCATAGGACTGGGGGGCACAGTGTCACCCCCCCGGCACGGGTAGCGGCACAGGGCTGGGGTGCACAGCACCATCACCACGGGGGGGTTGTGCGTGTGTGCACAGGTGTGTGTGAGTGTGTGTGTGTGCATGGCTGGGCATGTGCTACACGTGTCCACCTACACCCATCCCTGTCTGCGTGCGCGGGGGTGTGTGCCTGTGGGTACCCCGTGGGTGTGCAGCCGGGGGACGTGTGTGTGTGAGCGGTGCTGGGTGTGCCCTGCCAGCGGGAGGGTGTGAGCGGCACCACGTGTGCCGTGCCAGTGTGCATGTGTGAGCCATTGTGGGTGTGAGCGGTGCTGCATGTGCCATGATGGGGTGTGTGCGTGCGGGTGTGCCGTGCCAGCAGTGTGCATGCGTGAGCAGGCGCGTAGCGCCATGCCATGGGTAACACTCTCTTCTCTTTTCCTTTGCAGAAGACCGGCCACTCGCGGCGCTTCGGGCGCTTCACGCATGGTGCGTTGAGTTACCAGGACCCGGCTCCCCCCGCCGCCCAAGTGCGCCGGGATGGGGTCCAGCCCCACCACTGTGCTGCGGGAGGGCAGCGAGCAGAGGCTGGGCAGGGCTGGGCTGCATCTCGCCAGCCACAAATGGGGTCCCGGTCAGCCGGGGGTTCCCAGTGTCCCCCACGATGCTGGGCTGTTCCTGGCCCTGCAGCTCCGGTTCTTCAGGGGCTGCCAGCTGTCGTGGCCGGGCTGGGGACCCTGATGCCGTGGCAGTGCCCGGGGCAGCTGGCAGTGTGCCGGGCTGCGGAGGGGTGGCTTGGGGTTGAGGGGAGCCGCGTGGCCCCCCACCACACCATGGCAGTGCAGTGGAGGGGAGCGGTGGTGGGCAGGGGACACGTCCCTTGCCGCAGCAGTCTGTTGCAGCAGCTTGCCAGGGCTCGGACAGCAACGAGGGGGAAAGTCTGGCCCTCTCTGGCTGCGCAGCGTAGGCTTTCCTGGGATGGGACGTTAGGGTGGCACTGATCTGGCCTGGCTGCATCCTGTCTGTGGGGAGGCTCTCACTCATGCCCTGCCCTGAGCATCCCTGCTTTATCAACCGGGGCCGTGCTGTGGGGCATGGCCATATCATGCAGCACTTGCCACCGGTGGAGTACGGGATGCACTTGTACATGCCAGAGAGAGGGTGCTTGCATGTGGACTCATGTGTCCATGTGCCCCAGCACCCCCAGGAGCACCCAGCTGGGGCATGGGCTGAGGGGTCCAGCCCCAAGCTGCAGTGACCTGCGGAGCACGGGGATGTGTGGGTGCTACAATGGTGATGCCATCCTGCGGGGCAGCTCCAGCAGCTCCAGGGACAGGAGGTGGCTGTCCTGCTGGGCAGGATGTGGCCATGGCATGGGGAGGGGATGGTGCCGTTCACTGCGCAGGTGGGACAGTGTGTGGGTGAGGAGGGTCTGTGTGCAGCACTGGAGCGGCGTGCAGTGAACATGGGTGTGGAGTGGAGATGTGGTAGGGAAGTCTGGGGATGCCAGACCTGTTTCTACACTCTGTGGGTGCTTGGCCCCTGCCATGGGGCTGGGCAGGGCATGGGGTGCTCCTCATGGGGTCCTGAGATGGGCAAACGCCCAGTCCTGGACCCATCCCTGGACCTGAAGCCTGGCACTGGGTGCCAGGCTCTCCGAGCTGTCGTGGCCCACGCAGGTGCTGTCCTGGCAGGTCCCTGCCCCATGGCAGTGCGGGTTGATGCTGGGGACAAGGTCCCTCCCCGCTGCCCCCCGCGTCTCCGCAGGCCGGGCAGATAACCGGGTGTTGATGTCTCTCTCTCTCTTGCTGCCCCTATGGAAGCGAAGTTTTCCGCTCCTGCAGGAAACAAAGCTACGGTAGGAAGACCTCTGCCCGATGCCAGCCCCATCCCCAGAGCGGGCCCTGTGCCACAGCCTGCTACCCTGTCCCATCACCGCCACCATCCCCCACCCTGCCTCCCTGTCCCCTCGCCACCTCTGCCAGCCACTTTCCCACTGCCGGCACCATCTCCCTTCCTTCCATCATCTAACGCTGCTCCTGCTCGCTTTGCCTGCCCTCCCCTGCCTGCCCTTGCCCTGCTGGACTTTCCCACCTCTGCCTTTCCCTGCTGGCAGCTTGTCCCTACAGGTCACAGTCATGCCCCCTGCCCCGGCGCTGCCTCCTCCCGGAGCTGCCCGGGAACTGCTCTCCTGCCCCTGGAGCCGGTGGGTCTGCAAGGGGCAGCACCAGCCTGGCCTGCTGTCCCTGTGTCCCCTCACCCCCTGCTCTCCCCCCCCATCTCCCCAGACTCGGAGACGGGCGAGGATGAGCCCAGCGATCCCCAGGTGACGCAGCGCAGCGAGCTCCAGGATGAGACGGCCTTCAGCACCCCCACTGGTGAGCAGGGGGCACCCGGCTGGCACCAAGCCCCAGCACCGGCTGCTGGGCATGGCCCCCCAGCAAGGGCTCTGCTGGCCCAGCCTTGGGGTTCTCCACTGGGGGGGGGAGCTGTGATCCGCCCACGCAAAGGGGAGAGGGCTTGGGGCAGCAGGGTGCTCCTCGGAACACCCCGTGGTGGCTCAGCCCTCTCCGAGCAGGGTGCTGGGCTCATCCCCGCAGGCACCCGGTGTCGGCTCACCCCTCTTCTTCCAGGTGGGTCTGACACCCTCGTGGACGCCTCCATGAACACGACGCCAACCTCGGTGCTGGCCCTGTCACAGGCGGAGGAGCGCTCCAGCTGGTCGGGCAGCCAGCAGACCGTGGTGGAGAAGGAGACGGATGCCAGCCTCCCCGCACGGGGACCCTACCTCCGCCCTGCTGCCTGGCAGCAGCCGCAGGGAACCCCAAGGCAAGCAAACGCGCCAGCCCCGCGCGGCGCCGAGGTCCGGCACCTGGGCGTGGAGCCGCTGGTGCGGGCATCACGGGCTAATCTGGTGGGCACGAGCTGGGGGTCGGAGGATAGCCTTTCAGTGGCCAGCGACCCGTACGGCAGCGCCTTCAGCCTGTACAGAGGACGGGCGCTCTCGCTCCACGTGTAAGTAGCCGGGGGAAGCGCATGGAGGGGACATCGCGCTGGGGCCATCTCCTTCCAACCCCCACAGCCATCTCCTCCCCTCTGCCTGGGCTTTCTTTGCTTTCGTCATGCCCGGATGAGGAACGGGGGCTCTGAGCAGTAGGCGGACTGTTCCTGGTGAGGAGGTGGGAGCAACCCGGGCCAGGGGGGACAGGCCTTTGTGTGAGACGGGGGACATGGAGTGGGGTCCCTTCCTGCTGTGGCCAGTTTGGGGCTGGGGGTAACCCCTGTGCCGCTGCACTAGCTGCAGCATCGCACCTGCAGGCTGTGCCATGGGTGTCCCCCCGTCCCTCCCAGCCGTGGGGGCTCTGCGCAGCCCAGGGTGTGGGGACGTGGGGGTGCGTGGCCGCCTGGGACACCCGCTGGCAAGGCTCTGCCACCCGTGGTCCCCACCACACAGGGGTGGCAGCAGGGGCCAGGGACATGCTGCCTCCCCAGCACCAGCTGACACGCTCAGAGCCCCCCTCCCTCCCCACCGCCTTTGGTCTCCATCCTCGCAGGCCTGCTTCCTTCGACCTCCATCCCGCCCCTTTTTTTGTTCAAAAGCTGCTTCTTCCACCAGAACCTCATCTCCACCTTATGATTTTTGCACTGCGATCGCCAAGCCCCCTCAGGGGCAATGGGGTGGGGGGATGCAGCCACAGCACCATGTGCATGGGGAGGGCTTGTAGCATCTGGGACCCTCTCCACCTTGCGGAAGAGCTGGCCTGTGCCGCGCTGCCCTGGCACACCAGGACACCCCGGCAAACTGGGCATCCACCCAGCTCCCAATCCTGTCTGCATGCCGGCCCTGGGGAGGGGACTCGCTGGGTATCCCAGCATCATGCCACTGTCCCACACGGGTATCCCTGGGCAAGGGGACACCCCTGTGTCACAGCAGCCCAGGACTCTCACCCAACCCAGCCAGATTCACTCGTCAGGGCCCCTTGAGGCTCCCTGGTCCTGGGGCTGCCCTGGCCGCCTGCCCCGCTTGCCGTGCCCCATTGGGCACCATGGTGCGGGCTGGGAGCAGGGATGCAGCCAGGAGCTGAGGGTGGGCTCTGAACTGCGCTCCTCTGTCTCTCCCCTTGCAGCAGCATCCCCCAGGGGGGCTACCGGAGAGATGACCCCCACAGCGGCCCCGTCTCTCCAAAGCCTGGCGCCGAGGCCCCGAGGTCCCCCGCTGCCCTGCCGCTGACCGCCAAGCCACCCATCCTCCGCTCGCCGTCTCCCCGTGCCGGCCCGTGCCTGCCGCCGCCCGCTGGCGCCACATCCCAACCTGTTGCCCGTGGCTCTGGCGTCCCCTCCTTCACGCCCGTGACCCCCCGCAAGAAGTCCTCGGTGCCAGCCGAGTACCAGGACATTGTCCCCGAGGAGTACGAGGAGAAGATCAAGAAGCCCAAGTCCTCGGGGTACTCGCAGGGCAGCACGCAAGAGTCCCGTCCCCAGACACCCATGAGCGACGCCTCTGGCCGCATCTCCATCCGGGCATCCCCCAAGCTGGTGCGTGCTGGCTCCAAGATCTTCGAGAGGCTGCAGTACTTCGAGGAGCGGCGGAGGAGCCTGGAGCAGGCAGACAGCCCCTTCCCCGCACACTCCTGCCTGCCCTTGCGCAAGACGCGCTCCTTCGACCAGCCCGGCTCTGGCTCGCGCCGTGCCAGCATGCTGGGCGGCTCGCGGGAGGACGTGCGGGAAGGTGGACGCTGGGAGCCAGGTGGCACGGCGGCATGCCGGCGTTTGGCTTTCCGGCAGAAAGCCGCATCCTTTGACGAGCGGGGCAAGTTTGCCGGCCGCGTCTACGCCATCGAGCACAAGTTTGCGGAGGAGCTGACCCGCATCAAGCGGACAGTCTCCAAGCAGCAGCTGCGGCGCTCCCAGGAGCTGTGCAAAGCCGGGCTGCCCCCGGCACCCTCGCCCCCGGCGGCCAGCGAGCCTGCCGCCCCCCGTGCCCCCCGCACCCCCTCCTCACAGGGCGCCGGCGGGCGCAGGGCGCTGCCGCCAAAGACCTTCCCACCCGTGGAGAGCACGCACGTCATCCAGCACCTGGCACTTTCCAGCGTGGCGCTGGTGGGACCCGACGGGGAGCTGGAGTCAGGGGGGCAGCGTGGGAGGAAAGCCCCGGCGTGGGGCAGTGTGGTGGCCGGTCAGCCCACCGAGGTGGAGGATGTGGGCGCCAGGAAGAGTCTGCAACCAGGAGGCATTGGGGAAGTGAAGAAGAAGGAGCAGTGGCCGTTAGCACAAGCCACCCCACAGGGTCGGGTGGCCCTTTCACAGGCGGGTCCCGCCGAAGGCAGCCCGTGCCCAGACGGGGGCCCTGCCGGTGGAGCCCGTGCCCCCGGGGTGGTGAGCGAAGCCCTGGCCGCCCGGCTGACTGTGCCCCACGGGTTGTACCGGCGGCTGGAGGCACCTGCGGAGGTGCGGTTCCTGCCCTGGGCGAAGCCGGGGATGGAGCAGGAGGCTCGCCTGGAGAGGAGCTCGGCAGGGCAGCACAGTGTGGGCAGGGAGGTGGAGAGAAGGCAGACGAAAGTGTCAGAGAAGAAAGAGAGTGGCCGGACGGCTCAAGAAGGCAGGAGCACGCGGAGCAAGGGGAAGGGGCGCCGAGCCAGGCCCACCTCTCCGGAGCTAGGTAGGGGCATGGCTTTCTGCTTTCCTGCAGGCACAGAGTTGACCTGGCCAGCCCTTGAGTTGGATGGGCGACCCCCAGCCTGCCCCTGGGAGGGGTGGGGAGCCCAGGCTGTGCCAGAGAGTGCAGAGGTGGGGCAGGGGCACACTGTTCTGGAGGCTGGGGATGTTGGCACCAACCGGTGCCGTAAGACAGACCAGCCTGAGTACCAGTTTGCTGGGCCTTGAGGTCATGACACTTGCTGATGTCTCCGTCCCTCCTGCCTGGCACAGGAAGGACGCAGGGTGCTGACCTCTGGCACCCAGCCCTGGGCTGGTCCAGCCCCCCGGAGCACAGAGCACCCATTGCAACTTGTCCCAGCTGGACGGTGCTCGTTGCTCCAGGCAAGGTGTGCAGCTGAAGCATCCCCAGGGGATGCTGCAGTGGCTTGGCCATGGGAGGGGTGTCCCTGCCCATCCCAGCACGCAGGGGTGAGACCAGACTGCACCTGGGCTGGGATCTCCTTCCAGGCTCTGCTCTGGCCGGAGCAGTGCCAGGCCCAGATGCCTGAGGCTCCTGGCACAGCCCCAGGACCTTTGCCCATGTGCTGGGGCCATGGGAGGGGAGGGAGCTGGGAGGCTGGTGCTGATGTGGTGGAGCAAAGCAGCCAGCACCCCATGGGGGGCTGGGGGAAGCTCGGCGTGGAGGCTGTGGTGGGCTGTACAACCCTCCTCCTTCCACACCCTGCTGTTGCCTCATCCCTTATGCTATATGGGGATGTACAGCAGGCTGTATGCTCCCTGCCCTGTGGTCCCCTGCCTCGTCCCGCTGCAGGCACTGTGCCCTCGTGGCCCCTGATGTGGCCCTTTCCTCCACAACACAGCCCGGGGACCTGCTAATGCCCCAGCGAGGGTGTGGGGCACATGGTGGCAGGGATGGGCAGAGGGTTGCAAGGCCCCTGCTCTGCCTGCATGTAGCCCGGCGCGGCACAGCACCCGCTTGTTCCTCCCCGCTGACAGCCACGGGGTCTGTCTCTCCCTGTCCAGAGTCCTCTGATGACTCCTATGTCTCAGCGGGTGAAGACCCCCTGGAAGCCCCCATCTTTGAGATCCCCATCCAGGACATGGCGGTGGCCGTGGGGGCAGAGGTGCTGCTCAAGTGCATTGTCACAGCCAACCCCCAGCCAGAAGGTGAGTGATCGCAGGGCTGGGGGGGTCGGGGGTGCGAGCGTGACGGAGAGGCTCTCTGCACGTCCACGTCCCTCTCGCTGAGCCGTCCCTTGGGGCCACCTGAGCTGTGTGGAGTGGGACACGCGGCCCGGAGCTGGGTGTCTCAGGGAGGTGATGTGCCCACCCCGGGAGCACCCCTTTCACCCCGCCTCCTGCCAGGCAGGAGTGAAGTGCTCGGGCACTGCCTGCCAGGGCAGGGCGCAGGCAGGGTGTCTGCCCTTCCCCCGTGCTGGGCTGGGCTGTTGGGAGAGCAGGAGAAGGGCCGCTGAGCACTGCGAGGGCAGGGACGGGTGATGCCCTTGGGACAGTTCAGGTGGTTTCCCGGGAGCAGAGCCCCGGTGCCCAGCTCAGGGCCGATGGGCTCCGGGCGTGCTGTAAGGCGGGACGTGGGCAGGGGCGGCTGGGCAGCAGGAGCCGGTACCAGGCGCCAGGGCCGGACAGAAGCGAAGCGGCATCGATTCCCTTCTCCAGCCTCCACTGGAGGGCAGGAGGATGCCAGGAATCAGGCAGCGGCCAGCCCCGCTCTTTCCCTCAGGGGCCGTGGGAACCCGGGGCTGCTCCCCGTGGCAAAGGGGTCCCCGGGCCAGGCAGGGGAGCGCCTGGCCTCACCGGGACCCTGCACGGACCCCCCGGGGGAGCTTGGGCTCTCCTGCCCCACGAGTGACCCTCGCCTCTGCCGGCAGTGTCCTGGAGGAAGGACGGGGTCCCGCTGCGGAGCAGCACGACGCGGCCCATCAAGGTGGAGGGCGAGCGTCATACCCTGCTGGTCAGGAGCGCCCGGGTAGCCGACGCTGGCCTCTACACCGTCACGGCGGCCAACGAGGTGGGGGCGACCTGCTGCAGCGCCATCCTCAGCGTGCGGCCCGGTGAGTGCCGGCGGCGGG